TCTTTGAGCACTCCCTCTTTCGTCCGTGTGAAGGACGGTCGTCTACCTCCCGTGAAGTTAATACATCACCAAAACAGTCTCACCCGATAAATAAGTGGCGTAGGCCACAAACAATCTAGATTTTTTGCCCCTCGAGGGAAGCCACATTGGGATGAACTCTGCTGGAGACGAAGAGCGCACTGCTGCGAGCGGAGAACAGAGTCGCCCGCCGGTGCAAGAGGGCAACNATGATCGATGCACAGTCGGCTTCCTGGTACGTACGTAGGATGCACAGTATGGGGCCCCGGCCGGGGAGTGGTAAGATTGCGTTTGGTAGGGGGCACCGCGATGATTCACGGGGGCCCTCCTTGCTGTGGGAGCCGCTCTTCGAGCACTCCCTCTTTCGTCCGTGTGAAGGACGGTTGTCTACCTCTCGTGAAGTTAATACATCACCAAAACAGTCTCACCCGATAAATAAGTGGCGTAGGCCACAAACAATCTAGATTTTTTGCCCCTCGAGGGAAGCCACATTGGGANTTGGCGCTTTGCCTCTCGCTTCTATGAGATGCGGTGTGGTGTTGTGAAACGTGCGATGTAATCGCGCCGCTCTTGTTCTTGGGGCAAACAAATTTCACATTCCAGACAGTTTGCCCCCGTTGAAAGAATAGGTGGAAAATTGCCCCAATGCACACTAAATCCATATGATCGATGCACAGTCGGCTTCCTGGTACGTACGTAGGATGCACAGTATGGGGCCCCGGCCGGGGAGTGGTAAGATTGCGTTTGGTAGGGGGCACCGCGATGATTCACGGGGGCCCTCCTTGCTGTGGGAGCCGCTCTTCGAGCACTCCCTCTTTCGTCCGTGTGAAGGACGGTTGTCTACCTCTCGTGAAGTTAATACATCACCAAAACAGTCTCACCCGATAAATAAGTGGCGTAGGCCACAAACAATCTAGATTTTTTGCCCCTCGAGGGAAGCCACATTGGGATGAACTCTGCTGGAGACGAAGAGCGCACTGCTGCGAGCGGAGAACAGAGTCGCCCGCCGGTGCAAGAGGGCAACGATGCGGAGCTTGCAAGTTTGCAACTGCAGGTCTCACGATTGGCGGCCCTGGTGGAGGAGTAGATAGAGAAGGAGCCTGGCAGCGTCATGGCGGATGCAGCCAGTAGTGGCGGCTGGGTTGCCGCCACCGAAGGCCAACAGGAAGAGCCCATGCAGCCGCTCGGCGGTGGCGGGGGATTTCTCCAGCATCAAGCGAGAGATGGTGAGCAAGGACCACGGCAGCTGCTGGAAGGCGGCTGGGCCAGCAGATCGGGAGCGAACCCTGTTGGACCAGCCGGAGTGGGCCCGGGCATAGGACCGGACTACGGGGAAGCGAGGGGGTTAAACCCCCCAGGTGAGATACCCGTGATTCGAGGAAATGGAGAATACCTCGACGGCTACAGCAGTAGCCACATGAAGAGGGTAACGGTCAATGCTCCGCTCCTAGACGGAAANGCAAGTTTGCAACTGCAGGTCTCACGATTGGCGGCCCTGGTGGAGGAGTAGATAGAGAAGGAGCCTGGCAGCGTCATGGCGGATGCAGCCAGTAGTGGCGGCTGGGTTGCCGCCACCGGAGGCCAAGATCAGCCCCTGCTGCCGCACGGCGGAGGCGGGGGATTTCTCCAGCAGCAAGCGAGAGATAGTGGGCAAGGACCACGGCAGCTGCTGGAAGGCGGCTGGGCCAGCAGATCGGGAGCGAACCCTGTTGGACCAGCCGGAGTGGGCCCGGGCATAGGACCGGACTACGGGGAAGCGAGGGGGTTAAACCCCCCAGGTGAGATACCCGTGATTCGAGGAAATGGAGAATACCTCGACGGCTACAGCAGTAGCCACCAGAAGAGAGTAACAGTCAATGCCCCGCGTCTCGACGGGGAGAGTCGCGGCCATGGGTATGACTTGTGGAGAACGTCGCTTATGCAAGCGGCCAAGACTGTAGGACTGGACGGCCAGTTGATTGGCAACACCGGGAGACATGCACCTGTCGGCAACCCAAACGTGCCAAGCTCGGAGCTGTACCGCCTCCAATACACCAGCGACGAGGTCCAGAGGGGCCTCCAAGCGTTCCATTTTGTGACCACCGCCATCATCAGAGAAGCCGACAAGGCGATCGTGAACAAATGCGAGACCGCAAAGAGATCCTCGCGGAACTCGACAAAATCAGCGATCCGGAATCTCAGGGCTCGAAACAAGCCCTCATGAAGCAAATGTTCAACTTCACGATCCCCACACACAGCAGCAGAAACCCCATCGAGCACCTGTGCTCGCTCGAGCTCCTGTACTCACGCCTACGCGAAAAAGGGCTCAACGCTGACGCGCCCTTTGTACTCGCCCACTTCGTTGGTTCCCTCCCACCCGATTACCAATAAGCGAAGTTCCTGTTGGAGACCGTTACGGCGCTGGATAGAGCCGAGCTCGTCAGGATCGTGAGCACGGTGCACGCGGCCTTCCGGAGGGGAGGAAGGCCTCGAAGGGCCAGCGGAGGGCGGAGCACGCTCTCCTCGCGAGCGCCGGTAGCGGTGGGGAGGAGCGCCGGGCCGCGGCAACGGCGGCCGCCGCAAGGGTGGCGGATACGAAGAGTGTGATCGACGTGTGCGCGTCGCCGCCGGAGAAACCTTCCTTATTGTAGGGTACGGCGACGTGACGGTCATCCTTAGCTCGCGTGACGGGACAACAGACCTGTTGTTGAAACGGGTTGCACACGTTCCCCGACTAGACTACAACCTAGTCTCTCTGACGTCCCGCTTCGACGACGGGTTCAAAACCAAAGCCCTAGACAAATACGAGATGGAGTTGGAGAAAGAGAAGGGGAAGTCAATGTACTTCCCCCGATGCGGTAGTCTGTACGTCCAAAACGGTTTCCGCACACACACCAAACATGCCTATGCCGCAATTGCTCCTGGCAACGCGGAAGCGTCCACCACCCCCGTTGACATCAACGATTTCCACTGCGTGCGCGGCCACTCCCAAGAGGTGCTGCTGGGGACCACGGCGAAGCAGCAGGGAACGACGCTGGTGGGCGAGCTCCGAGAGTGCCTGGGGTGCTCGACGGGGAAGGGGCTTTCCAAGCCCATCCCCAACAAGACGTCGACCCGAGCATCGCTGCTTCCCATCGCAGAGGAGGAAGAGGAATTCGCAACTGACAAGGACGAGGTTGGGGAGGGCGCGTCGAGCCAAGGTGGAGGGAGGACAAAGGGAGAACCTATGGATGGAGGACCAGGTTTCAACCTTGGCACGACGGGAGCCCGGGGCCCGCGGGGCCGCCCGCGTGCATAGCGCCGGCCGCTCCGCCGGCCGCGCCCCAGGAGTCGGGCGCGGGCGACGCTGACGATGGCGCCCCCTCGAGCAGGGAGGGCGCGAGCGTCGCCCCATCTACCACCTCGGCCGGCATGGCCGATGGGGGCGATGGCGAAGTCGACCGCCGCCGCAGCAGCAGCCGTCGTAGCGGCGGCGGCGGCGGCAGCGACAGCGGCAGCAACAGCGGCAGCGACAGCGACAGCGAGACGGATCTCCCGGCGCTCTGCGGACCAGAGGCCTGGCGGCTCGCCCGCTTCGACAAGCCGGCAGAGTTCACCAGCCGCTGCACCAGGGAGAACCCTCGCCGAAATCCGAGGTACGAGTCCCCCCCGTCGCCGACAAGTGCCGAAGCCCTGCCCGTCAGCAGCACGGAGGAGTTCACCAGCTNGCGAGCCTGCCCGTCAGCAGCACGGAGGAGTTCACCAGCTGGATGCTCTCGGCGGTTCTTCACGTGGCGGAGGGGCTAGAGGCAAGGGAGGTGCGAGAGTTGCTGTTCGAGGGCGCGGGGGAGGCCCACGCTGCGCGCCAAGAGGCGGAGGACTTCCTGCTGGATACGGTGGACCTCATGCTCAACTCGCCAGACGCCTTCGAGACGGCTCTGGCGTCCCACGAGCTAAGTGAATCACCCACAGGACCGAAGCGAGATGACGAGAAGGGAGGGGAGTGGCCGGTGAGGGAGGCCATCGGCAGCATGATGTGGGTGTCAACGTTCTCGCGTCCAGACGTCTCGTTCTCCGTGCGTGCGGTAGCGCGCCACGCCCACGCCCCGGCGAAGAGGCACTGGGGTGCCATTCAGAAGATCCTCGGCTACTTGAAGGAGACGAGGGACCTCGGCATCACCTCCCAACGGGGATCGGGGTTAGGGTTGGCCGTGTACGTAGACGCTAGCTACGCCGACACGGAGGATAAGCGTTCCGTGTCAGGGTTGGCGACGACGGTTGGAGGTACCGTAGTCAGCCATGGTAGCAAGACATAGAGCATCGTGTCTTTGTCTTCAACGGAAGCCGAGTACATTGCTGCCGGGGAGGGTGTCAAGGAGGCGTTGTTTGTGCGTGCTGTGCTTTCGTTTGTCGCCCCAGAGACCAGTGGTAGCAGCATCCAGGTCCTTGACGACAACCAGGGGGCCATAGCGTTGGTGCAGAAGCCCCACAGCTCAGGTCGCACGAAGCACATCGACGTGAGATTTCATTTCATCCGCGCGTTGTTTAGGTCGGGGGGTACGTCGGTCAAATTCGTTCCGACAACGGAGCAACACGCGGACCTCCTAACCAAGGTCCTCAGCAGGGCAAGTCTGCAGTACCACCGGCGCAAGTTGATGAATTTTCCGGAGTAGCTGTAGCAGTTTCTAGCACATGGGAGAGGTCATGTTTTCCATGCGGGGAAAGGCGCATAACTGTTGCGGCCTTTGTACGAATTGCAGGAACAGGGGGCGTTGGGAGATCATCGTCCGGGGGAACGTAGCTTCGCCTTGGCCTTTCTAATAAGTGGGGCCGTTGTGGTCCGCTGTGATAGCGACGCTTTTTGTGGTGGTAGGGGTTATTTCGAGAGGTTTTGCCCGGACGCCGGGTTTCCCCTCCATATGTTACCATGTTGGTATTTTCTGATGTATCCTGGGGCGTTCTTGCCCAATTGATGGTTAGTCACTTGCGTGAAGAACCAGGGAGGGTGTTCGTGAGTCTGCGAACATTGCTGTTGGATACATGTGCTGGATGATTTTGTGTCACGCAGACTGGTAAGATAACCGTTTGATAGGGGGCACCGCGATGATTCACGGGGCTCCTCCTTGCTGTGGGAGGCGCTCTTCGAGCACTGCCTCTTTCGTCCGTGTGAAGGACGGTCGTCTACCTCTCGTGAAGTTAATACGTCACCAACACAGTCTCACCCGATAAATAAGTGGCGTAGGCCGCAAACATACAGTACGCTAACATGATGGGATGGTGGCGCGTCCACACGACGACTATGGTCAAAATAGGCATTGACATGCCAACAGATGTCCCAACTGTCATGCACACAATTATCCGAAGAAAACTGCCTGTTGTATGCATATAGTTGTCGTAAACGCCTTGACAAAACATTGTCCTATGATCCCTCAAAGCTGTGTGTGTGCATCCCTTCCTGCAGAAATCAAATAACGAAAAATGGGCGATTCTGTACAACCCTCGTCATCAGTGTTTACAGCGAGCGCCGAGTCTAAAGACCATTCGGGAATCCCGAATGGATTCGCCTCTCTGTGAATCGATAACTCTTCCCCTTACTTGCCAATGGCGTCGTCTTCGTGGGTGCCTTTTCGCCAAAGTGCTTTTCAGGTACCGACGCATATTGGTTTAATGGTCAGAAATTCGATACGTATGTGGATCTTCGCCCATATGCGATCAAAATTATCGCAAAGCCAATGCGTGACAACTCAACATTGGTGGAACGCATCAAGAACGACACCTACATTCATTCCTGCACGGCAGTATTGACCACAATATTCCGAATGAAACCTACATATCGTCCTGGACTGGCGTCTGGTCCATGTTGCCGAGTTCCTCGAAAACCTCCGCCTCCACAGACGCCAGCTGCTCGGAAGTCAGATCCTCTCCTTGGATAGGGCTCTCGTCAGGTGCCGGCGGGTGGCGCCGAGCGCAGATCTCACCGGCGCGCTTTACGAGAGCCTCGCGCAGCTTCATCACCGTCGCCCACGCCATACCCTCGTACCCCTTCGGCAGTTTCTGGCCCACGTTGGTACGCCGGCGAATGCTGAGCCCATTCCGCTTGCGGAACCGTTGGTACCAGGAGTTGAGTTTGACCTTGAAAGCCAGCGCCTCCTCCGGTTTCGCGTTCGCCGGCATCCCGCCAACGGCGTCAGGCTTCAGCTCGAGCAGCTTGTTCATCACCTCCCGATGACCACAACCGCGGTGCTGCTTGCGCTGCTCGTTGATGTAGTCCACAAGGGTTTATTCGGCGTCGACTGTCGAAGCTTTCCCCCCGCTGTGAACCTGTTTGGCCTTCGAAAACTTGGGGTTGGCGCTGACATTCTCCCTGAGCTGCTCCTCCTGCTTCAGCCACTCGATGATACGCTTCCGAGCCACCTGGAGAACTTTCGCCGCGCCGTTGTTTCCCACCGCTTGACCGTCGCACGGGCAGATCTCCCGTGTGTAGGCCGCCGCGTTCAGTTTGAACCGGACGGGGTAGCTCCCTTTCCCTCCCACTGCTCCTGACCACTCGATCGGGAAGTTGGGCTCCCGGTACGCGTGTTTGCCGTTGCTGTTTTTGACGGGGTCGTTGGCGGCTAGCATCTCATCGATAGCCTCGCCGGTTGCCTTCGGGTCCGCAGCGGCAGCTCCCTGATCCGCAGAGGAAGGACCGCCAGCACTAGCCTGTGAGGCCTGTGAGGCCTGTGAGGCGTCGGCAGGTCCCGCGCTTGCACCCTCCGACATCGTAGCCGCGCGTTGCGTGTGGTCGAGCCCGCAGCTCGGTCCCGGGCATTTTCCCGATTTTCCGCCGGTATTTCTCCGCCACGGAATTGTTGTGGTGGCAATTCCCCGAGACTCGTTTGTGTGTGCAGCTACTAGCTTGTCTGTTGGTTGTGTTGTGATCGTGTTGCAGCAATACCATACACGCGAAGTGCTGCTATCCCCTGTGGTTTTCAATGTTAGGATCGCACATATCGGGGTCTTGGCACAGGTGTGTACGGTCGAAAGTCGCCGTACCAGCCGCTTTGGATTTAACCAGCACCGCACATATCGGGGTCTTGGCAAAGGGGTGTGCGTTGTTTCTTAGAACCAAAATACTTACTGCATTTACGCACAGGTATCGCGAACTTGGCACATGTCGGGGTCTTCGCACACCTGTGNTGTGTACGGTCGAAAGTCGCCGTACCAGCCGCTTTGGATTTAACCAGCACCGCACATATCGGGGTCTTGGCAAAGGGGTGTGCGTTGTTTCTTAGAACCAAAATACTTACTGCATTTACGCACAGGTATCGCGAACTTGGCACATGTCGGGGTCTTCGCACACCTGTGCGAAAATAGTCTGAAGTTCCAAACATGTAAAAAAACGACCGCACAGTGTGCCAAGATCCCGATGATTACGGTACGCTCAATAAACTATGGGAGCAAACGCTGCAGATGAGTTCTGAAACTTTTCTCCGGAGAACAATCCGCAATCTGCAGAAAACGTTCTGAAGCTTTTTTCGCGACGAAGGTGTCGAACAAAAGTTACGCGGCGCGACTTCCGCCAACCCAATGTCAAGCTCCTAACCCTGTTCACACACACACACCTCTCCAGCTTCGATTGTGAGAAGGCCGTGATCACTGATATCTCGATGAATACCTAAAAAATTACCCCATGAATGATATCTGGAAGGAGGTGATGCCATGAGCTGTTGGGTATTGCCAAGGTTTGGTACCGTGAGGTGCCAAATCGGCCGGGGGAAAAAGATTGTACTGACGCACGGCGACCGTCAACGGCCGTGAGCGAATAAATCCAATTCGGTGTTTGTGACCGTCACGTTTTTTTTTTCCACCGATAACTTTCTGAAGGAGGAAGCAACAGCCATAGAAAGGCCACTCGGCGAGAGGTAGCCGTCGGCTCCATCTTTCATACCTGCCGTGGGGATTTGGTGCCGTGGGGTTGTTCGTGGGTCTGTGAACATTGGTGTTGGATACATGTGCTGGATGATTTGGTGTCACGCAGACTGGTAAAATTGCCGTTTGGTAGGGGGCACCGCGATGATTCAGGGGGCCCCTCCTTGCTGTGGGAGCCGCTCTTTGAGCACTCCCTCTTTCGTCCGTGTGAAGGACGGTCGTCTACCTCCCGTGAAATACATCACCTAAACAGTCTCACTCGATAAATAAGTGGCGTAGGCCGCAAACACTCTTAGAGTTTTGCCCCTCGAGGAAAGCCACATCGGGGATGAGCCCAGCTGGAGACGAAGAGCGCACTGCTACGAGCGGAGAACAAAGCCGCCCGCCGGAGGAGGAGGGCAGCGATGCGGAGCTTACAAGTTTGCGACTGCATGTTTTGCGATTGGCGGCCCTGGTGGAGGAGTAGACATAGAAGGAGCCTGGCAGCGTCGTGGCGGATGCAGCCAGTAGTGGCGGCTGGGTTGCCGCCACCGAAGACCAACAAGAGCCCCTTGCAGCCGCACGGCGGAGGCGGAGGATTTCTCCAGCAGCAAGCGAGAGATGGTGGGCAAGGACCACGGCAGCTGCTGGAAGGCGGCTGGGCCAGCAGATCGGGAGCGAACCCTGTTGGACCAGCCGGAGTGGGCCCGGGCATAGGACCGGACTACGGGGAAGCGAGGGGGTTAAACCCCCCAGGTGAGATACCCGTGATCCGAGGAAATGGAGAATACCTCGACGGCTACAGCAGTAGCCACCAGAAAAGAGTGACGCTCAACCCTCCGCTTCTAGACCGAAAAAGCCGTAGCCACGGATTTGATTCGTGGCGAAAACGAAGACCACCGACTTGGACGGGCAGTATATACGAGATCCTGAGAGCAGTATCCCCGTAGGCGACCCAAACTTGCCGACTTCCGAACTGCTCCGTACGGGGCACACGAGAGCAAAAGTCCAACGAGGGCTTCAGGCGTTCCATTTTGTCACTACTGCTGTTGTAAAGAAGCTGACAAAGCAACCATCGGTAACTGTACGTCAGCGAAAGAGGTCCTCGCGGAATTGGAAATGGTCTACGATCCGGAGTCACAGGGGTCGAAACAGGCCTTGATGCGGAAGATGTTCGACTTTGCAAGCCCCACACACAGCAACAGCAACCCCATCGAGGACCTCTGTTCTCTCGAGCTGCTGTATGCCCTCCTGCGCGAAAAAGGGCTCAATGCTGAACAACCCTTCGTCTCGCCCACTTCGTTGGTTCCCTCCCACCCGAGTACCAACAAGCGAAGTTCCTGTTGGAGACAGCAACGGCGCTGGATAGAGCCGAGATCGTCAGGATCGTGAGCACGGTGCACGCGAGCCTCCCGGAGGGGAGGAAGGCCTCGAGGGGCCAGCATAGGCGGAGCATGCTCTCCTCGCGAGCGACGGTAGCGGCGGGGGAGGAGCGCCGGGCCGCGGCAACGGCGGCAACCAGAAGGGGAGAGGGGGTGGCGCGAAGGCTGGTGGCGGCGGCGGAGGCGGCGGAGGCGGCGACGACGATGCGGGTAGCATGCGCGGTCGCTGTTTCCGGTGCGGCAAGAAGGACCACCGGGTGGCCGACTGCACCAAGAGCAAGCCCGTGCGATGTGAGACATGCAAGGGCTACGGCCACGACAAGAGCAAGTGCCCGACCGAAGAGGCGGTGCTCGTGGTGGAAGTGCCGGCGGGGAGGGCGTCTGCGGACGCCACAGCACTGGACGTGGCAGAAGAAGCGCTGGTGGTCGGTGACATCTCAGGCGAGTGTCACAAAGTCGTTGGTCGATGGGGTGTAGAGCAGGCTAGGCGGGGTAGGTATGTTGCCGATACCGGCGCTACCACCCACATGTTCGCGAACTCAGATGGGTTCGCTCGTTACGAAGAGTGTGGTCGACGTGTGCGCGTCGCCGCCGGAGAAACCTTCCCTATCGTAGGGTATGGCGACGTGACGGTAACCCTTAGCTCGCGCGACGGTACAA